CCCCCCTTGGTTGAGCCTTAGGAGGTCTCCTCAGACACCTCTTGCCCAGCTGAGGGGGGTGACCAGACTGCTACCGACACCGTGGCCCCTCGCCGCTCCGCGCGCTTGGCGGTCCCTCCTGGATTCCGCCTCGACCGTCTTCACCGCCTCTGCGGCCCATCGCTGTGGACTCTGGTGCTGCTGAAGGTAGTGACACTGGGGGTGCGGACTCTAGGGGTGCTGGCTCTGGGGATGCTGCGAGTCCTACGGGTGCAGGGGGTGTTGGAGGAGCTGCTGCTGGAGGTTCTGCGGGTGGAGGTGCTGGTGGTGCTGGTGCTGGTGGTGCTGGTGCACGTCGGCAGGAGACTCTCTCGCCGGAGCGGCTTCGCAAGTGGGCTGTCCGTTGGGGCAGTCCTGGTGGTGGCACTGGACGAGCTAGAGTTGCAGGTTCTAGAGGTACTGGCCCTGGAGGTGCTAGTACTGGTGTTCCTGGAGTTGGTCATGCTGGAGGTACGGGTGCTGAAGGCACATGTACTACTGGAGGTACTGGAGGTGCTGATGCTGTGGGCGCTGCTGTGGGTAGTCCTGGCTCACGTCGCAAGGAGTCTCTCTCGCCGGAACGGCTTCACGAGTGGGCTGTCCGTTGGGGCAGTCATGGTGGTGGCGCTGGACGTGCTGGAGTTGCAGGAGGTGCTTGCCCTGGAGGTGCTAGTGCTGGTGTTCCTGGAGTTGGCCATACTGGAGGCACAGGTGCTACTGGAGGTACTGGAGGTGCTGGCCCTGTAGGTGCTAGTGCTGTTGTTCCTGGAGTTGGAGGTACTCGTCGACAGGAGTCGCTCTCGCTGCAGCAGCTTCGCGAGTGGGCTGTCCGTTGGGGCAGTCCCGGTGGTGGAGCTGGTGGTGCTGGTTCTGGGGGTGCTGTTCCTACTGGGGCTCGCGGTTCTGGGGGTGTGACTACTCAGCCGCAGCTGTCTACGCTTCGTCACCTTCTCAGTCTCCCGCCTGCTGCTACTGAGTTCCCGGTTGTTGGTACTACTCCTTCGTTACTGTTCTCACCGACTGTCCAGTCTCAGCCACAACTTCGGCCTGGCTCCCCACTGCCTGCTCCTGCTCCTCACACTTCGGTGACAGAAACTTTCACTGAGCGTAGAGATCCTGCGTCGTGTCCTGTCACGCCTGTCCGTTCTCGCCGTGCTGTGCGTCTTCGTCCTCCACCTGTCCCTAGCACACACATCATGGCACTCCGTCCTTCCTCTGTTCCACAGCGTGTTGTCCTGCCATCTCCTCCAGCGTCTTCTCTTCCTCACGTTCCTGACCCTGAGTCAGACCTTGTCCGTACTGCCAGTCCGACTGTCACTCGTCTCCTTGCCACGGTTGTGACTGACCCTTCTTTTGAGTCTGCTGCTGCGTCTGCCTTGGTTGCTGAGCTTGTTGAATTTGCTGCTTTGTGCCGCCTTGACTACGGTGCGAGTCTTGTTTTTTACTCTTCCTGTCCTCCGTCCGTCGGGGGTGAGCTTGCCTTTGGCTGTGACGTTCTTGAGGACAGGCAGTTTGAGCTGGAATGCCTAGCGGCCGCTGTACCTTATCTCGCATCCACGCTACTTTGCCCTGAGGGATACCCGGATGCACTGGACATCCCGACCCCGCGCACTTATGCAGAGGCGATCATGGGTACGTACTCCTCTCAATGGCAGATAGCCATGGACGCAGAGATGGCTTCCTGGAAGTCCACAGGCACCTACGTCGACGAGGTTCCCCCACCTGGGGCGAACATAGTTGATGGCATGTGGATTTTCAGGGTGAAGCGGCCGTCGGGTTCTCCGCCTGCCTTCAAGGCGCGTTCCTTTGCATGAGGCTTCAGTCAGCGTGAGGGGGTCGACTTCTTCCAGACCTTCTCCCCCACCCGAAGATGACCACTCTTCGGGTGCTACTGCACGTTGCAGCACAGCGCGATTACGAGCTGCATTCCCTCGACTTCTTGACAGCCTTCCTGCAGGGCAGCCTTCACGAGGCTATCTGTTTGCGCCGCCCACGTGGCTTCACTGGGTCGTTTCCTGAGGGTACCCAGTGGAGTCTTCGGCGATCAGTCTACGGCCTACGACAGGCGCCCCGTGAGTGGCACGACACACTGAGGACTACACTTGCTGCTCTTGGCTTCGCTCCCTCGAATGCTGACCCTTCGCTGTTTCTGCGCATAGACACTTCTCTGCTGCCGTTCTACGTTCTCATATATGTTGACAACTTGGTTTTTGCTACTGCTGACACTGAGGCTCTGGCCTTAGTGAAGGCGGAGCTGCACAAGAGATACACCTGAACTGACCTGGGTGAGCTGCGGAGCTATCTTGGCTTGCAGATCACCCGAGACAGAGCACGCTGCACCATCACCCTCACTCAGTCACACATGGTGCAGCAGGTCTTTCAGCGCTTCGACTTCTCGTGATCCTCGCCACAGCCCACTCCTCTGTCTACCGGCCACTCACTCTCAGCTCCACCTTCAGATGAGTCCGTAGAGCCGAGTGGTCCGTACCCAGAGCTTGTGGGTTGCCTCATCTACCTGATGACGTGCACACGACCTGACTTCGCGTACCCTCTCAACCTCTTGGCTCGCTACGTGGCTCCCGGTAGACACCGAAAGATGCACTGGGAAGCTGCGAAGAGGGTATTGTGTTACTTGTGCAGCACATCGGGCATGGGGCTCGTGCTTGGAGGACCCGGTCCAGTTGTTCTCACCGGTCACTCAAACGCTTCTTGGGCTGACGACCAGACGACTCACCGGTCTACACAGGGGTACAACTTCAGCCTCGGCGCGGGTTCTGTCTCGTGGAGGTCCACCTGCTCGTTTTCTGTACTTAGTTCCAGCTGTGAGGCAAAAATCTACGCTGGAGCTATGGCTGCATAGGAGCTCTACTGGCTGACCTACCTGCTGACCGACTTGGGTGAGCGGCCTCGTTCTCCTCCAGTTCTGTACGTCAACAACAAGGCCATGATTGCCTTGTGTCATGACCAGAGACTGGGGCACAGAACGAAGCGCATTGCTCTTCGGTACTTCCTCACGCTAGAGCTGCAGCAACGTGGTCAGCTTCGTCTTGCTTACGTGGCCACACAGGCCAAGACTGTTGATGTTTTCACCAAGGCCCTTGGGTCTAGTGATCATCTGCGTTTCTGCACTGCTCTTGGGCTTGTGCCCACTCTGCCTCACCTGCTTGTCTCTTGATCTTGCCTTGCACTTGTTGTACTCTGATATATATAATTATACCTGCATGTTTACACTTGCTAGGTTGTGATTGTGATTGCACTCCCCGTCGGGACACCATCCGAAGTTTGCCCATCCGAACCGTTTTGGTGCACGGATGGTGTCCCGGTAGGGGCAAGGCCTCACCTCTGACATTTGTCAGTGTTTTGGATGCGATCGGGGTCGCCCGAGTCGTCTGCCTGTTGCGATTTCAGGGGGGGTCACCAACCAATGGGGGTGTAGAGGTGTCATAAAACGGCGATATGCGACAACATAATGGGCGCCAAATATAACGGCAGAACCTGCCTGTCGGGCACTGTAAAAAAGAAAAAACAGGGGATCCAATTTTTGACTTGGGGGTATCCGATTTGACTTGGGGGCACCAGATTGAAACGTGGGCAGCTTACCATTTACGTGTAGCCGGCTGCCTTGCACGTTTGTGCCAAGTCAGCCCGAATGCATTGCAACGCCCTTTTTTCCACGATCGCAGAGCAGGATGCTTGACGTGCAATTGGTCGCACGTACACTAAACCGTCATGTCCCAACGTGTCCCTAACTCGAACAGCGTGGCTGAACATTGAAATGTCATTTTTGGAAATTGCGGACCGCGTGTCCCGACTTCGGATGGTGTCCTGACGGGGAATGCAACCTTAGTTAAAATCTTCACCGTGATCTAAATCGTAAATAACGCCTCACACCAGCCAACACCAAAGCTCGTTCAAACACTTACACCTAGCCCTCGCCAATTTCACGCCCCGTCAGTTCTTCCTTAAAACCAAACTGACCTTTTTTGGCTATAGGGATCAGACACCCACGAACTAGAGGCTATCCGGGGCAAGTTGCCCCGTCTGACGCTGAGACCGCAACGCAAAGACTGAATCTTTCGCTGCGACCATGTTTTTTTTTTCTGTTCTTTTTTTTCTTTTTTCCTGCTGACTCATGTGCGCAGTCCCAGTCGTTGATTTCCTTAAAGCCAAATTGTTTGAAACAACCCTCATATTCGGGTGAATTAGAAACGACCTCCATACATTATTCCCACATCCTAGTTTGGCAGCTGTAAGAGATTTCCACTCAACGGTTAGACGCTTCCCGCGGGAACACCTGCTCCTTTCTGGATTGCGATTTCCAATTCTTCCACGCTCAACGCAACACTCGTAGTAACCTCGCAATCCTACTACTAGCTCTCTACCATGGCGGCCCTCTTCGCTCCTGCCTTGGCGGCGACAGACACTAGCAGCGACAATCCCCACCCTGACCTCATCCCAAGCTCCCTGCAACGGTTTTCGTTCTCCGAACTTGAGGCTGCGACGAACAGGTTTCGTCCGCGAAACGTCATTGGCAATGGCGGGTTGGGGGTTGTGTATCAGGGGGTGATTTCGCCAGGGCCGAATGGGCTTGGCCCGGAGCCGACGGCGGTGGCGATCAAGAAAATGCGCGACGCGAAGGAACGACACATGGAAGAGTTTCTGGTGCGTGCGTGCGTGCATGGTTGCGAGAGAAGGCAAGGCGGGTTGCACCATGACATGTCCGTGTCTGAGAGGGTGGAATGCCAACTTTCCTGGCGAGCATCACTTTTCCACAGAATGCAAACTCCCTTGATCAGAGAAGGAGGCTATCGTGCTTGGGCAATCTTTGACTCGACTAAAAAATCGTCTCATCACATCACACGCGGCTGTCCCACCCGCACCTTGTGCACCTGCATGGCTACTGGATGGAACATTTATACCCGCACTCCAGCACCCCAGCACCCATCATCCCAGCACCCACCACTCCATCCTACCCATCGCAGAGAGAAATAATCGTGCTGGGGCGGCTATATCACCCCCGTCTCGTGCACCTGCACGGCTCCTGCATGAAACGCGGCGAGGCTCTGCTCGTGTACGAGCTCGTGACGGGGGGCAGCCTTGACAACGTGCTGCTGGAAAGTGAGTGGGATGGGATGGGTAACCACCAGGGCAGAGCAGAGTGGACTCTGCTCTCTCTTGCTCTCTCTTCTCCTCGCCCTGCTTGCTCGTGTGCTGTTCATGACAAGGGAAGCCTCGTCAATGCGCTGGCAGACAGACAGTGAGTGAGTGGGGTGCTATGGCCTGTTCCAGTTAAGAGTAGATGCAGTAGTTGCCTCTCTCCCTGCTTTCATTCACGTTTATGTACGGGTTTATGACGAGGGGTGCTTTCATTCACCTCTCTGCCTTCCCTGCCCACTCTGCCCTTCGTGCTGCCTTCTCTGTCCTCCCGGCTAACCCCTTCTGCCATTCTTGCTGCCCTTTCTGCTGCTCTCGCTGCCCTTGTTTTTGCGCTCTCCGTCCTCCCTGCCTTCCCCTTGTGCCCTCATTGCCCTCCCTGCTGCCATCTCTGCCCTCCTGCCCTCGCCACCACCCCATTCCCTATCTCCTTCGTCCCTGTCACTTGCCAGGTGCGAATAGAGAGCTCCTTTTCATGGGACAAGCACTGCCTTCCTTCCGCGTGTAATGAGACGATTTTTGAGTCGACTAAAAAATCGGTCTCATCACACCAGGTGCGAGTGGAGAGGAGAGCTCCTCTTCAGCCGGGACAAGCATTGCCTTCCTTCCCACTCCTTGGTACCGACTGATCTTACCCTTCCTCCCGCCCCCCTGTACCCCGCTCTCATCCCCCCACCCACCAGGTGCGAAACCCACCCTCTTCTTCAGCAGAGACAAGCACCACCTTCTCACTCCTCAATACTTCTCTTTTTCTCTGCCCTTCCTCCCCGTCTCCTCCCCCACCCGCCCCACCACGCCTCTTACCTCCCCCCACCCACCAGGTGCGAGCGGCAAGCGCTCCTTCAGCTGGGACATGCAGCTGCAGGTGGCGGTGCAGGTGGCAGCAGAGGCCCTCGCATACATGCACCTGTGAGCCACACCACACCACCGTCCCATTCCCCTGTATTCACTCACTCTCCTCGCCCCTCCTCCTCGCTCCCCGTCTCCTCCCCCACCCACCAGGTGCGAGCGGCAAGCGCTCCTTCAGCTGGGACATGCGGCTGCAGGTGGCGGTGGACGTGGCAGAAGGCCTCGCCTTCTTGCATGGAAGCAGGCTCATTCACCGCAATCTGAAAGCCTCCAACGTGCTGCTCTCTCCCGTGAGTGCGGGGTGCTGGGGAGGTGGGTGGGTGGCTTGGGGAGGTGGGTTGCTGCTGGGGGGGGCGGGTAGCATTGGGAGGCTGGGGAAACATATTAATCAGCGGTGCAGTGCGGTGCAGTGCAGTGCAGGTGGCAGAGACCCTGGCGTACGTGCATGCGTGATGCATGGTCTGAACTGCATCCGCTGCGATTTGGGAGCAGCCAACGTGCTGCTCTCGCCTGGGCTGGGAATGCATGTAAGGGTATGGGAGAGAGCAGAAGAAGCAGGGCAGGTGGCAGGAGCAGCAAGTCGACAGCACTGCTCTTGCCTCAGTGCGTGCGGGAGAGGGGAGGTAGCAGGGCAGATAGTACAGGCAGCAAGCCATCAGCGCTGCTTTCACCATCCCTCCGAATCACATATGGCTACCCACTCTCCCATTTTCCACCACGGCACGGATATTATGCGCGATATCACATATGGCTACCCAACAAATGTCTGCATCTGCCCCCTCCCCTCCAAATTTCCCACTCGTCCCTTCCCTCCCTACGTCACAGGAGTACAGTGCAAAGCTGACAGGGTTTGGGATGGTACGAGCTGGTCCTGATAGGCAACTGCATTCGACAGTATCAACTCGCATCATGGGCACTCAAGGCTACATCGACCCTGCTTACATGGCGACAGGTGTGCGACCAGGACTCTGCGGGACTATGATTAGCAATTTAGCATGCATTTTCACAGCATGAAGTCTCGGGGTTACTCTGATTCGACCCCACGTGTGTCTATGGAGACAGGTGTGTGAGGAAGAGGTTTGATAGCATGGGAAGAGGTCGATGGTGTGGACTCTCATTAAGGACACTAAGAGATACATCTCTCCTGTGTACCTGGTCCCTGTCCCCTCCTGCCCCTCACCACCCCTCACCACCCCTCACCACCCCTCCCCGCCCCACCCCACCCATCACAGGTCGTCACGAGCAGCATAGGTCGTTTGATTGAAAATATTAGTTGTGTGCAATCCCCTTCTTTCACCTCACCTCTCATTCCCCTCCCCTAACCTTTCCCCACCCCTTCCTGCCCCGTTTCGCCCCGCGCCGTCCACCGCAGGACACCTAGGTGCCAAAAGTGACGTCTACTCCTTTGGTGTGCTCCTGTTTGAGCTGGTAACCGGCAGGAGAGTGGCGGACGAGGGAGATAGGGTGGTCACCGAGTGCAGAACACGTTTCGCGCACCTCGCACCCAGAGCCACAGAATATATCGACCCTTGCCTTGGTAACCAGTACCCGGAGCGAAGCGCCCTAGGCTTGGCAATTCTGGCTCGGCACTGTGTGGCGGAGGATCGGTCGAGGCGACCGGACATTGGGACTGTGTTGGAAAAGCTCAGGTTGCTTCAAGGTTTGCGAGAGTGATGGAGCAGAAGCAGCAGCTACAGCTGCTGCACTTGAGGCGGGAAAAAAGGGTCGATTGAAAGGCCAATGGAGGTGAAGGGGGTCCTTGTAATAGCTGAGCAAGGGGGTTTATTTTGGTTGTCGCTGTCGGAAACATGTAGTTTGCGCTTCTGATGTGTCGAAGCATTGAATCGTAAGCGAGGCAGACTACAGCGAAGCAACAGCGAGTCAACCGAAGAGGTCGACAAAATGCAACAGCAAGGAGGTTAAGCGAAGGTCAAAGGTTAGAGACCTTTGACTCACCGAGAGGCAGCACGACATCAAGGACAAACAACTTACTCGTTATTGAGCAGTTGCCCGAGTTGCAGCTGTATTGAATCGCAATAGCAACAACAGTTATGTCTTTTCATATTCCCTTGCAATCATATAAAGCTTCGTATCTCTTTACTACCGTCATCGCCCGGATAGAAGATAGTGTTGAATAGTAGACATGGGTGTCTTTAATACGGGTGTTTTCTTATAATCGGAAGTTCCTGTTATTAGAGACCCTCTGGCCGTTATGTGTTAAGACATCCTGTCTAGCACAGGGTGTCTTTTAAAACCAGGGTCTCAAGTAAGAGATTTTGCCATCAATTGCAAAACATTTGAGACTTGCGTTACCTTGTGTTTGTAGGCGAGATGGACTGGTTGGCTAGGGAAGTTGGCGTGCGACACTCCCCCTATTTTGCCTCAGCACCAATTGCAAAACAAATTTCGGGTACATGAGACTCTCGACAATTCTTGACATTTCACTGGCATTGTAGCTTCGGCTCCGAACCTGTTTCCATACCTAGAAGGTTTGGAACACAGCAAGCGATTTAGTTCCCTTCGCATCCCTCGCTGCACCCCTTTTCGTTTTCTAGGGCTCGTCAACCAATGGGAAACGGGTGTTTCCCATCAACTGCAAAACAAATGATCTACATGAGACCCTGGTTTTAAACGGCGCAACAAAGTCATTCTCTGTACCGTACTGATTAAAAATCTTTGCCAGTTCAGAACCTTCTAGAGACCACTTCAACTAGCCTCTACTTCAGTGACCCCATCACCCTCAGGACAAGGGTCCTCGGATGGTGCATCATCATCCTCATCAAGCCTCAGATCCTGCACACACTTTGTTCGTCAAGACCAGAAGGGGCCACGAGCTTGTCCGCCAAAGCCGCGGCCCCACGGTATGCCACAGTGTCGGGGTAGGGGTCTTCCTCCACAGGGGCTGCATGTTCAGCCAACTCCTCCTCATCCTCCTCGTCCTCCTCCTCGTCACCCTCCCACTCCCTCCCCTCTCGGTCAGGGGCTTTGCCCACGAAGCCCGTGTTGTCTCCGCTCGTTCCTGCCAGCGACATGTCCTCAGACACATCTGTCGTGCTCCTTGCACGCATATGGGCGAGAACGAGGTGATTCTCCTTGCCGTCGAGGGAGCTGGAGATTCCGCATGTTTTGAAGGCCTTCACGATGACCTCCAATGGCACATCCTCCCACGACTCATCAATCCACCTCAACACCACATCATGCGGTGGCCGCCTGAGGTTCCCTGCCATTACAAACCAGGGAGCAAGCACACAGAGAGACACACATGCGTCAGTCCGAATAGCACTACGGTATTACGACTACAAACATTCGCACACACACATTTGTCATTTGATACGAGCGGGCTGGCTCACCTTTGGGGGTTCGGAGGTTGATGCCGTGCCGCATGAACCACCGGCAGTAACGCGCGCGCACTCCCGCCTTGAAACACCGATTGATGGACACATCCAGTGGCTGGATCTGGCTGGTGCATCCTGCTGGGATGATGGCCGGCGTGATGGAGTGTGTGCGGTAGGCGGCAAGCATTCCAGGGGTTATGTGCCCGCGGTAGGAATCGAGTACCAGCATGGATCGTTTGGCTGCCGCACCTTTGACAGGGTTGAGGTAAGGGAGGATCTCGCCTCTGAGCCAAGCACCAACCGCTTCCTCATCCATCCACCCATTCACTTGGGCTTTCACCACCACACCTTCCAGGCACAATGTACCAAGACGGAAGTGTCAAACATTATATATGTTGTAGTTGTTTAGGCTACAGTGGGTTAGCCTTTAGGGGGTACACAATTCTAGGGTTAGGTACTTGTACTCATTTCTCTTTCTAGTTACACCACACTTCTCCTCTCGATTCTAACATGGTTTCAGAGCAGGTCCTTCGCTAGGACCGATTTTTCTTAGGGCCCACCACTACTGACTGCCTACTAGCGCCCTCGTGCGCCCTACTGTCGGAGCGCCCTCGAGCGCCTCCCCCAGCGCCCTCGTGCGCCCCTCTTTAACGGCCCCGTAAGGCCCCGCGACCCGCGACCCGCCCCTTAGCGACCCGCGCGCCGCCCCTTAGAGGCCCCCCCTCACGGCCGCGTCGACCCCGCGCGTAGCCCCTTAGAGGCCCCGTCGGCCCCGTCGACCCCACGCACGCCCCACCTGGCGACCCCGTCGACCCCACGCGCCGCCCCTTAGAGGCCCCGTCGGCCCCGTCGACCCCACGCGCGCCCCACCTAGCGGCCCCGTCGACCCCACGCGCCGCCCCTTAGAGGCCCAGTCGGCCCCGTCGACCCCGCGCGCGCCCCACCTAGCAGCCCCGTCGGCCCCGTCGACCCCACGCGCCGCCCCTTAGAGGCCCCGTCGGCCCGTCGACCCCGCGCGCGCCCCACCTAGCGGCCCCGTCGGCCCCGTCGACCCCGTACGCGCCCCCCTTAGCGGCCCCGTCGGCCCCGTCGACCCCACGCACCGCCCCTTAGCGCCCCGCACGCGACAGCCACGGCCCCGCCAGAACCGAGCCGCCCGAACCGAGCCGCCCGAACCGAGCCGCCCAGTCCGAGCCGAGCCGCGCCGCCCGAACCGAGCCGCGCCGCCCTCCCCGTCCTGAGCAGCCCTCTCTGGACCGAGCCGCCCTACCTGAGTCGCACTGCCTGCTGCTGTTAGGGTCTCGCCTGCTGTTACTACTGCTACTGTTCCTGCTACTACTACTGCTACTGCTCCTACTGCTACTATGGCTAGCCCTCCAGTGCTAGCTTTCGATGCTGAGGGCCGCCCAGTGAAGTTTGACACTTGGCTAGATGACCTGCACCTCTTCCTACAGCTCACTGCCAAGGAGGACATCTCACTGTACGATCACGCCTTAGGCCATGCCACTGCCCCTGCTGCTACTGCTGACAGCACTACCCGCTCACAGTGGCAGACTCGTGACGCCCACGCTCGCTTTGCTATTCGCAACTCCCTGCCGATAGATGAGCGCGAGCACTTTGGCCAGCACAAGACTGCACAGGCACTGTACACTGCTGTCGTTGCCCGCTACTCCTCACCTGCCTCTGCCGCGCTAGGCCGTCTCTCACTCCCCTACCTGTTCCCCGACCTGTCCTCTTTCCACACAGTCGCTGACCTCATCACGCACCTCCGTACTAGTGAGGCCCGCTTCCGTGCCGCTATGCCCGATGATTTCCTTGCCACGAACCCCCCCCCGCTCTGGCTCACTCTCTACCACCTAGTCACCCGCCTCCCTGACACTCTACGTACAGTCAGGGATCACTTCCTAGCTCGCTGCCCCACTGAGCTCACCATTGCCCTCCTCGAGAAGGAGCTACTTGCAGCTGAGGCTAGCATAGTTGCTGTAGGTGCCTCTCGCGGCGACCCCCGCACCCCTTTCTTTGAGGGGTGTTCCCCTTCCCCCCTTCTTCCCTCTGTAGCCTCTGCTTCTGCTGTCGACCTCTTTGGTGCTGAGAAGGTCGGGACTGCGTCCGCTTCGAGCTGGCGCCGCAGCGGCAAGGGCAAAGGGGGCAAGGGAGGCGGAGGTGACGGCGGGGGAGGCGGTGGTGGGGGCGGTAGCGGCGGTGGGGGTGGTGGTGGGGCTGGAGGGACTACTGGCAGCGGTGGGGGTGGTGGCGGCAGCGGCGGGGGAGGTGGCAGGGGCGGGGGCGGTGGTGGGGGCGGCAGTGGACGCGGCGGCGGCAGGGGCGGGGGTGGTCGAGGTGGTGGCGGCGGTGGTGGTCGTGGAGGCGCTGGCAGTGGCCAGAGCCAGCAGCACACTCCGTCGCCCCAGGAGCTTCGTGAGTGGTACTCTCAGCACGGGGGGGGGGGTGTCCTTAGCTGCACGTACGTCATCCGCACTGGTGACCGCACTGGTCAGACGTGTGGGAGGGCGCACACCGCGCAGCGCTGCTTCTCCCGCCTCGACGACGCTTGGCGTACTCAGTTCCCTGCTGCCACTGAGCTGCCCCGCTGGGCTGATCTTATGAAGAAAAACATTGATATCTATGCTCTAGACTTTGATGCTATTCTCACTGCCATGTATGTGTTGTCTACTAGTGGAGAGGGTGCTCAGTACCTGCGTGTTCCGCCCGACCCGGGCATTCGGACCAGTGAGGCTGCCGCTCTAGGTGCTAGTGCGTCTGTTGCCCTAGGTGCTGGTGAGGCTGCCGCTCCAGGTACTCGCGTGTCTACTGCCCCAGGTGCTGGTGAGACTGCTGCTCTAGGTACTCGTGAGTCTGCGCCCCCTAGTACTGAGTCTACTGAGGCACTGCTCACCTTCACACTGGACTCTGGTGCTTCTCGCTGTTT